TAACCATTTTAGGGGAAGAAGAATGGAATTTGTTTTTTACCAAAAGAACACAAATCGAATGGAAATGGTTTGCCACGGCATGGCGGGTCCTACCTGTGAAGGACCGAACTGGTGGCACTAAGGAATGTAATGCGTCTGCACAGCTACCATAGTAAAAGCGATATATTAGCGAAAGTCTGGCGACATTTCGTCTGTGGAATAAGTGTGAAGAATAATTTATCACCCACAAGGCCACGTAAGCGCTTTTAAGCTCTGGCGAATGTGGACAGTGATAATTATGCAGAACAAGCATAGATATGGCAGCAATACTATATTCTAGGTCTGATCTGACTCTTGTAAAGATAGACCATGACAGCAGGAGTTTGGCATTTTCTGCACCGATACAATAAGCCGACCATCTATCATATTTTGTGATGGCAGCGAATATACCCGTTCATTTCAGAGCTTTTAGCCCCAGTAAGCGAACGAGCCTCATTGAGTGCATGACTGCTCATCAGATTTAGTGCAGGTTTAAAAATCTGCTCGGCGAGGATGATTAGTTACGAGACTAATTTTGAATGTATTGAATGATGTCAGCCAGTGTTTTCTCCACAGAGCTGTGAGAGTTAGGTCATAAGAGAGAGCAGCTTACATTAAGATATTTGGATGGGCAGCCATACACTTTGGCATCTACACGATGTATTCAACAACGTAGTTTGATCACATAAATCCATGGCCGTGTACGTCAGTGGGACAAGTCAATGTTAAAAATACTCCAGTGAAAGCAAGTTACGGGATATTTGGAGGACTTGAATATCCGCCATTTAGACAATCGATAGCCAGCGGCCAGGGAAAATGGACAGAATCATATAGTGTCACATTGGTGTCAATGACAGAAGATAATTAAGTCAGATTTTAGCTGGGTTCATCCGGCCGTATGGTATTCAAACTATTCGATTGAAAGAGTAAACTTTATGTTGAGAGCTACATCTCAATTTCTCTTTGAAAAAATTTCGAGTAGAACATACAAAAAATTGTTTAAGGTGTACTTTCAATGGCGCTAAACTAAAATGCCAATTACGAGGCACAACGAATAGGTGTGCAGTTGAAGCAGTTTGTCATCGTGATACAGTAAGAAGAAAGAAACAGTTTATGAATCGATTGTAATGTTCAAAAGTTGCATGTTTTATTAATAACCCTGTCTTACCAAACCAAAATTGTTTCAAATTCCGGAAACTGATCGAAAAACGATTATCAAGAAAACAAAGAACAATAAGATAAGTCCTGAAAAACATTGAATGGTCTGAAATTTGTTGTTACTTTTTTTTTTTTAATCATTTTACCCCCAAACAATGCGGAAATAGAACCCGTACGCAGGGGTTACAGTCAGAGAAATTTAGAGAAAAGAATGAAGTAGGATTGAGGAAAGGAGAAAAGATGCACGGGATTCAAAAAATAGAAGATAGCGATTGACGTTGTATTTAATTTCTTGACGCTTGTAGTTACCAGGGAATCTAGAGGAAAGGAGTTCCACTGTCAAAAAGTGCAAGCAAAGAAACGGTAGAGTAGAATTAGCTGTTGAATTTAGCTATTTCAACAGGAAAAGAGTTGAACCTAGATGCCAATCTAGTAGCACGCTCAAATGCATATAGCTGGGACACCAGGGCAAACAGCTCGTCAGTTGCCATGAACATATGTTGTTCATGATGACGGTCGTCTTTGAGTATAGAATCCAGACGTTAGCAGTGAATATTTCGAAGACAGTAGGGAAGCGTAGTTCAGGTTAGCAGTGGATATCCCGATAAAAGTAGCAGAGCATAGTTCTTCCTTCAGTTCCTCTTCGCCTGACAAGCTGGACTGGACATTCGGATAGAGTAAACAAAATGGCCGCCTTTATACACGACGGATTAAATATTTTACGTCTTCTGATTGGTTAAACTTCTATTGGTGGACTATAAAGTAAGTCAAGTCATTTGGGCTAACTCACTAGTACATAATACCGCAAAAACTGCAACAACATATTTGTAGAAAATACAGAAGGAAGACACATCACATCTGTGAGAAAGTGACTGAAGTCAAAATACCAAGTCAGGATCGATTACATTACAGATCCTTCAAGAACATCAAGATAAACAACAAGATGCCCAGACCAGATTTTACAGCAGTATCCAATGCATGTAGTGCGAGAAAAGAAACTGTTAACATAGAACTTGCGGTTACAGCTAGCTGTTTCGATTGTAAATAATGACCTCTTGCCGCCAATCTAGTACTGCGCTTATATTCATATAGAATCTAGGGCATCTCAATATGGCGTAATGGTTAGCAAGCTTCTCTCGCTAGAAAAATTACAACTGTGTTGTTAGTTCAATCCTCACTATGTGTCCCGATACCTTGTGCTACATCTAAGTTACACTTAGAAAATCACCATATATTTTAGGTACCATCGAGAAGAATTCATCAGAATATTTTCTATGAAAGTATATATATGTAACACTATTTTGACGCCGGTAGTGTAAAATTAGGATTAAAAGGGTCCATGTGAAAACCCCGTATAAAAATTAGAGAATAGAAACGATAAAATGTTTAAGTGAAAACATGAATTTAAATATTAAACTAGAAAAAAAAAAGAGAGATTTTCTTTTTTCTTTCTATTTCTTTTTTTTTTTTTTTCTGATAAGCAGGTGGAATAGGAATGTAAAATGTAAACTGAAATTCGTAAAACCGGTAAGGTAAACAATCTGGAGTGTCGTTTTTTAAAAATGTAAAATGGCCAGAAAATTATATGGGTCATACTGGAAAATCGGCAACAAAGGAAATTCTTTGACGTGAAGGACATAGAAATAATTTAACACAAATTTTGTTATTGGAAAAGTTATTGTTTTGAATAAGTAACCGATCACGGGCCGATTGTCGTCAGGATATAGAAAGGAATGATAAACAAAGTTTGTTGTCGAAGAATGTACTGTTTGGAATAACTGACCGCTTTTTTAAAGGCCAATGTCGCTTTTCCAAAATTGGAGAAAATATTTAATTGATATAATGCTCTATCATCAAGGAACAAAACGGAGGATAGAAGCAGAGGAACGAACGAAGCGGGAAGCCGATAACCATCAGTTGACCGGCGGCAGTACGGAGCAACGTGGGAACATCACAGGATCGAGCAGGGCCGGCCGTGTTATAATAGAAAATACACAGCGAACATAAATTATAGCAATGGGAAAGCAACTGAACTCGAGATGCCTTGTCAGATTCAATAACAGTGCATATTATTCTTTGGCTTTTATCAAGTGTCTCTAAATATACAGCAGAAACACCAGACCATATGTGGTAGCAATATTCTAAGCATAGACAAATGGTAGATTTAGTAGACTTGAAGATATGTCAGATAGATTCTGGCGAGGAAAGATGGCTTGAAAAATGTGATACTCACAGGACAGATAAGAAAACAAGAGGGACAAGGAAAAACAAAGTTACTGAGTGAGCTTGAGTAAATGGATGGCGGAACAAGGTTTAGGAGAGATAACAAAAAGACAAAAATTATTAGCAACTACGGACAGGAATTTGCGGAAAGCCATGATTGCCTAAGTCCTGAAGGGACACGGTACACGGAGAAAGCATATGTTTAAATTACAATGTCATTTATTTAAAAAAAAAAAATGACCATCGTCGTTTAGACATCTTCTAATAAAACAGACGCTATAAAAAGATTTTTTCTCTTACAATTGAAAAAATTAATTTAATATATAAGAATAGTTAGGCATCTCAACGTGATGTAATGGTCAAGAAGCTTGTCTCCCTGAAAAACTTTCGACTGAGCAATGATTTCGATCCTCACAGCGTGCTTCATATTTTCGACCCTGTGCCACATCTAAGCTACGCTTTTCTAAAACGATATATACAGTCTTAAATATTATCTCTTTTTTTGTCTTCCTATCGTTTTCTTCTATTTCCTTTACCCTGGTATGTGAAGGTGGTATAGAGGATAGAAGCTGGTAAGTAGAAATCGGAGAGCCGAGATCGAATTCCAGTCGGATATTTTACATTCACTTACGCGCAAATAATGTTGCGAAACGTAGGAATTGATCCCCTTCTTCAAACTATGGATTAAATAGTAGAACCTACACCTGCAAAAATCGTTTTTATTTCCAAAGAATCGTTAATGGAATATTTACTCGTAACAAAAAGGGAATTATTCCTATAATCCAAAATACTAACCAAATCCCCGTCTTACGAACATTTTTCTTAATAATGATTTTAAAATAATTCAGCAAATGATATTTTATTCATGGTAACTAGACTTTTGACGATTACCTTACTCGGTTTTCGTTGTTCGATAATATGCGTCTGAAAAATTGTGGCAAGAAAATATAATCGTTTCTTGGCCTTTTGATTAAGATCAAGATGATGTATCTGTTCTTATCAGCTTAAACTGATTCTCTCTCTCCACTGCTATTTTTGTTTCTTTCATTTGCTCACTGGAATCAAGTAATGTCCTTTCCACTGTGTCCATGTGATCAATACAGAATCGTCGATTATTTATGTGTTGGCAGGGCGTAACGGTCATGCGAACTAATGAAGCGCAAGACAAGCACGATTATTATGATATTTCGGCTTTAAATAACCCACAGAAAAATCAAATCAATCAATCCTTTACTCTCTTTCTCTTTAGCGTCTCCTAAAATGTGCGTTTCATTTTTTTTTTTTTGTTCACATTACCTTATTCTTTGTCCTTCATATATTCCTATTTTTCAATATAACTCATTTCTAAGACAATTTCATATCTGTACTTCTTTCTGTCACTTTTCACGGTATCCACTTTCAATAGTCATTGATTCGTCTGTCTGTATTTTTTTGTCTTTCGCCATCAGCTTTTAATTCTTTTCTCTTCTATTAATTATCTCCCAGTTAGTTCCTGCCAAATTTACCCGATTCCTATTTTCTTAATTCGCTACTTTTTAAACCATTTTAATCACTCTCCCTTGTTTCATTTTTTTTAATTCTCCTCCCTTCCAATATACCCCACGTTGAAACACCGATTCTCGTACGATCACCGAAGGTAAACAACGTCGAGCCTGGTCAGAACTTAGATGGGTGACCGTTTGGGAATAATAAGCCCTGCAAGATTAGATGTACGGGTGAATTGATGGATTGGAAATCGAAGAACCGAGTCCCAATTCCAGTCGAGTTCGTTATATTTGCACAAATACTCTTGGGAAATGTATGAATCCATCTCTTCGCCATCAAACTATGGGTTAATCAGGAGAGCTTGTGCCAGTAAACCATTATTACCTTCAAATATTCTTACAATCTAAATATATGTTCTGACTTTAAATAACTTGCAAAAGGTTGATAAGCCGTAAAAAATTATTCATTCAAAACCAATATACACTTGTTCAATTCATTTATCATTTTCTATATCTTTCTTTTTATCGCTCTGTTAATATACATATCTGAAATTGTAACTGTTTATACAATTTTATCTACATAACTATATCAGGATATAAAACTTTCTTTTTTCATTCTTTATTTTTTCTTCCTTTTTATCTGATTCTATTCATATCTATTTATCTTCAATCTATCTATCTAGCGACCTAGCTATATATATATATATATATATATATATATATATATATATATATATATATATATATATAAGGTAAACAAACAAATCCGTTGGTATATAATTAAAATGGATTCTAGCAAAATAAAAATAATAGGAATGATTAAAAAAAAGCTCGGGGTATTTTATTTAATATTCCCCGTATGAGGAATTGTTTGACTATATATATATATATATATATATATATATATATATATATATATATATATATATATCAATCTGATTCTATTCATATTTATCTATCTCTCTGATTCTATTTATATCTATCTACCTGATTCTGTTCATAAGTATCTATCTGTCTATCTGTTGGTCTGTCTATCTATCAATCTGATAATATTTATATCTATATATCTGTCCAATTCTCTTCCAATCTATCAGATTCATATCTATCTCATTCAACGAATATCTATCTATCTATCTATCTATCTATCTATCTATCTATCTATCTATCTGTCGCTTCGTCCTTCACCAAACAATGTCATATCTTTGGTTTTCCTTCTACGTTTTCAGATCAACTAAACGTAGGATCAATGACACATTACCTCAAGGGGATCAGTCAAAACAGGATACAGAAAAAGATGAACCTGGCTCCGGCCCAATGCCTCGAGGTGATTCACAAGAGGCAAGGAGATATACAATTCGATACAAAACCACACATGTTTCGGTGGGAGTAAGGCTTAAGCTGCCTATTGTTCTGAAATGCTAAAATCGACCAATGAACAGCTTCTTGCTATTTGATTAACTGCAGTCTTACAATTTAACTTTAATTATTTGAGTGTAAGTGTCATATCATTATTTTTTAAAATGAAAAAAATATTAAACTGTTAATTACTTAATTGTTATAAGCTATTTTAGGGGATATCCATATTTGAGTAGACGCACCGTTTATCTTTCAGACAGTATATTTATTTATTTTTGTCTACCATCCTTAATATTCGAGTAATCTTATTAAAGGCCGACTAATGGAAATAAAAAATATATATACTGTTTGATAAATAAGCGGAGCTTCTGTCCAAATATACGTATCTTTTAAAAATAACGTTTAAGTAATAAAATGTCTCGGATTAATAAAATTAAATCAATTCTCTCTTTCTCTCTGTCTCTCTCTCTTTGTCTGTCTCTCTGTCCTCTATCTCTATCTCGATATATATATATATATATATATATATATATATATATATATATATATATGTTGTCACCTAGGAAAGGATACTAAATAGAATAATCATACGAAGATACTTCGGGCAAGAACAACGCATATAAGATTCGCAAGCGGCACGTAGAAATAGTAGCCAACTGCTAGAAGTGAGTAAAGTGAATTCCACAATGAATCTCCAACTACAGGATATCTACCAACTTCCCTAGGCCGAATTTAATGTGGGGTATCCGAGCCCGTAGGCTTGGCCAAATATTCCCCAGGGTCGGGTAGCTGTTTCAATAGACGAGACTCTACCCTTCGACTTAGCATCGTCTGGGGATCCTATCTGCCCGGAAGCAGAAATTTTGACCAGCACAACTGGAGATGAATCTCTGACTGAAGACCAACATACAGTATTTACTACTGTATTTATGTGAATGGGGATATATCCATTATTGTTCGTAGGTATGCTACAACTATATATATATATATATATATATATATATATATATGTGTGTGTGTGTGTGTGTGTGTGTGTGTGTGTGTGTTGCTGATACTCCCTGAAGATTGGATGGATAGGTCTGTCTAGGTGTTGAAACTTGACTAATGCATGGAATAAAATGCAACACAAAATGTACTTAGAACAAAATGTATTGAAACAAGAAAGTGTACACAATATTTACATATAGTCTTTTGTATATTCCTGGTAAGACCGTTCCTGGAGAATGTGTTGACTGAGTCGCAGTCGGGCAGAGTCTCTGGTTGAATCTCTTGATTCCTCCCTCTCTTCCCGGTACCAACCATATTTATATGGTCGGTACTCCACTATGCAAATTAGGTGGATCCTACCACAACACTAGGAAACTCTGGAATCAGATGTTGACGGTAACATCAATCAGTGACAGATATTTTCTTTCAAGTCCTTTCAGAGGTACGTCATTGCCATTTTTAATTCTTGTTTGAATTGATCATATGATATTTTTTCTTTGTCTCTTCCCAAAAGTAACTACCCAATCTAATCTTCCTTCCGAATTCCCCTTATATGTTTTTTTTCGAATTGATGTTCTCCGTGGTATTTGAGTGTTTAAATTTGAATTTAAATTTCACGTTTGAATCGTTCATCATTTTGATTACAGTTTATCTAAATTTTTAACAGCAATCGTGTTTTGTTTTTTTTTTGTTTTGTTTTTTCACTCCTTTTTTTACCCTGCTGCTATCAAATTGGCCGACTGGCCATCCACAATATGGTCTAGAAATAAATTCCTCTCCTACCCATTACCTCCTCTCCCCTTCAATATACTAGCATGGTCAAAAGTTCTGTGGGCTGAAGATTGACTCTCCAAATAAGTTATCTGGATGTTGGTTCTTTGAAATAATTGGGAGTCAAATCCAGCACTGTTTTTTTTAAGTTATTTCAGATGTGTACTAGTTTTAATTCTTAGTTGAATTTCTAATGGCCATGACGACTTTAACTAAGTTAAAACTTTTTTTTTTAATAGGAGTAGATAGGCTTTCCCCTCGCCCTGTCCAAACTCCTCCCACTTCGCTTATATATATATATATATATATATATATATAATGATGCAGGTTGGCATCGCCTCTTAATTGTACTAGTTTCGTATTTCCTTGTGTATTGCGTCTTACTGAATGCATTGTAGCTTTGTGTTAGATTCCCGCTTGATCTAGGCCTTGTTGAAATGTTTAAATGTTAAGCATGCGATCGGAATTATTTAGTAGTTTTCGGCTCGTATTTTCTTCCAATTTCCGGATCTGCTGCAATACTTCCGTTTTCCGTTTCATATTATCTCACTCATGTTCCTAGTTCGTTTCCCTAATTTCTTTTCTTTCTATCTCTTTTGCTTTCTCGCTAACTTCTTCGATTATTTTCTTTTGTCTTTTTTTGACCACATCGTTAAAGACGTAAACTGAGAAAGGCTACGAACTGGGATATTTACCAAAAATACAGTCGGAAAGAGAAAAGTTCACTTTTCTATACAAATCGAAAAGGGAATTGGCCGGCCTTGTGACTGATCTACATATTTATATCTTGCAACCATAGTCGATGTCTGGAAGCAGATCATTTCAAATGCAGATTTTCAAAGCCGAACCTCCCCATTCCGACTCCTGACGTAATATAATCTTCCCTCCCTCGTTAGTTGTTAGTTTGTCATTTTACCTATTAAACTCAGTCATCTTTTTATTCTATTTTATTTTTTTATTCTGACCCACTACAAGACCGAGTGCTACTCAAGATAGAGGGTTACTTATAAAATTGTTACGATGAATGACTTGTGAGATATGAATGAAAGAGGAGGTATCAAGATGGGGAGATTATGATGATAAAGAGGATCGATAAATTTTGACACTTTATTTTAAGTTAGTTTTTAATAGTAATGGTTAGATGTTCGTCTTCCGAGTGTCTCTTTGCATGGAGGATGAGTTAACCCTCTTGAGGACACCCGCTCAAATATAGTCGTGTTTCATCAACACCCAGAGAGTTAGCTTGTTGCTTATTGATCGTACCTGGAAGAGAGCATATAACCTGGCGTGATAAGTATTTGAACAAAGCTACTTCGCTCACGATGACTGGTTCTGAATATTAACCTCTACCAAATTTCACTTAAAGAGCCTGGATAAACAAGTTTCCCTCACTTCCTAACCGTTTCAAACATTGTGTTTGTTTCCCCAAGCCTATATTATCATTGACAAAATGAACGTGGTGTGATTCGAACGCAGGTTAACGTTATGGTCACTCGACCACACTCCCAGCTGAGTAATTCCCAGGGGAAACTAGAATTAATACTTCAACTAATAGATGTCACCTGTATACTGAATCAGCCTATTTAATTATCATTTCTGTATCGCTAATTTTATAGTGTTATCGAGACGTTTGGCAGTTTTCGTAAAAAACATTATATATAAAAGCAATTTCGCGAAATATATTTTAAAGGAAAGACATTAATAATAATGTCAGCTGACATCTATTGACAACTTGAAATAGGCGTAAAAAGCGTACATACCATTAAATGTACTTGTGTCAAAAACTGTTCCGACGATTTTCATCAAAACATAAATTATATTAGCCTACTAACAACACCTTCTCTCTTACAAGACAAAAACAATCGTTGGCCAATTTCTGGTCCTTTGGATAGAATTATATTAAAATGGAGGAGAAACAGTATGGCTAAAATAAAGACGTAGAACTAAGAAGAAATGAATCACAAAAGAAACAAAAAAGACTTAAGTTTTAACTTATTTAGGTTTCTTCTTATTACTGCTATTTTTAATCTCAAAGTTTAGGCCTTTTTATATTCTACGGCAGTTAAATAAGCGCCCTGGTTCGCAATAAAGAAGTAGC